TAGAAGAACGATGAAAAGGTTAAACAATTTGGTGTGCATTTTGAAATTTATGATAATGAAGCGAGATAAATAAACTTGAGGATTTTTGAAAACGAAATTAGAAAGGTAAGGGGAAATTTTTAACTCTTTATATAACTTTTTCATGTTAAATATACACGATATTTTTTCTTTAGTTCGTGTATATAATTTACGAACGGTCTCTATGTTTTTATGTTGTACATTATAACGTGAAAATACTGCAACTCATCAGTTGAGTTTGAGAAATCTCGAGTACAATCCTGCAAGCTTGGCAACTCAAATAGTTAAAGTAATAAATTAGTATATATTTGTATTTTACTTTATATATCATATTATAATGAACGTATGTACCAATTATTGTATATGACGGCAAATGAGGAGTACATTGGGGTGCATTAATGTGTTTCTATTTGTTGGCAAAGTATTAAATAATTAATAATTCCTAAATCCATACAGCTTACCCCAATGCTTTAAGTTTTATCGATCTCTAGTGTCGATCATATGAAGATCTTCCACGAAATCCAAATTTCTATATTTGTAAATTCATCAATGCCTACTTACTTTCCATAATTGTATTGTCATAATAATATTTTTATTACCTTTAATAGTCACAATCAGTGTGTTAAATACTTTCCATATCTATATTGTCAATAATATTATTTTTATTACCTTTTTAGTAACAGGACAAGTATTGTCATAACCAGCATCAACTTACGGCGCTTATACAGATTCATTTGTATTTTTTCATATTTGTATTGTCATAATAATGTTGTTATTTCCTTTAATAGTCATAACCAGTGTTATTTCCATATTTATATTGTCAATAATAAAATTTTTATTACCTTTAACAGTAACAGGTATTGTCATCAAATTACAGCTCTTATGCAGTATTATTTTCAAATGAAATTTCCGGTCACGAAAATTCCAGTATCAATGTAAGAAATATATGTACTGGAACAATCATAGCGCAGTAAAATTCTCGAATTCGCGAAATGATATTATTTCACTATAACATAAGCCAAATTATATGGACAATATTCATCAATAAATTTTAAATTTTAATTAAAAATTAAAAAAAAAGTTTTATTAGTAGAAAAAAAAATTTCTGATTTTTTGATTTCCGATTTTCGAATTTTCTAAATGCACAGGTTCTAGGTAAACACTGTAAGGATGTTGAGCGGAGAACAATCGAAAATAGCGACTGAATCACTGCCGCATAATCTATAATCTTATTCTGTGTAGTGTTGTTATTTGAACATAAGGCTAAAAAAAAAATAAAAAATAAAAAATAAATACGCCACTTATTTCATAAATGGATTCTCTCCACTCGCAATTGCTTTTTTTTTGTGCAGAAGCATCTCTATCAAAAAAAAAGGTTTATGCTGCACACAGGTCGAACAGCAAAAAATAATTACTGATCGTAGTATTCGTTCATGTTAGGTGATAATTAGATGAAGTTATTGTGTCGTGTTTCATTGTGTGATAAAGTCTTATAAAATTCATAGTACAAAATATATATAAAAAAAATAGTTTACTTCTGGAAGACATATGCGTAACTATATAAAAGGGAATAAAATAAATAGTAGAATAAAAAGATAAAAATAGTTTCTCATACGTTTATAGGCCATTACTATATCGGATGAACAAGGCTCTACTATATAGCAAAATCTACAAACCCAACTATTGAAAATTTACATGTGATGGATGATAATATTAGCTGGGCCTTCATGTTTCTGACACATATTGTATCTTGTAATTCTCGTGCTTCTTCATTATCCCGAACATCAATGATGTGATTAAGCTTTTCTCCCTTCAGTACGTCCCTTCTTCGAATTGGTTACTCCATTCCAACCATCGGCCGAAAGCAATCCACGAGCGATTATTCTTATCAAATATAAGTGTCTCATTAACTTTGCAAATGATGTCAGTATCGATGAGCGTCAAAAAATCTTTGAGGATCTCTAGATTACTTGAGATATTCCGCTTTGATTCCCGTATCAGAGTTTCCATTAACAAATCTCATGTTCTTATGTCGTATTCGATATTAGTTTTTAGATGATATCCAGAGAGGGGTCAACCACTCGTTTTCGACGTAATTTATCTTATCAAAGTACATAACCCCGAGTTGCGAATTGTGTTCGATGCTAAAAAATAAGAATAAGTTAGTCTTTCCAGTTTTTGTATACGTTAAAGAGTTATGATAAATGCTATTCTTTGGTTTAATAAAGTTGTATTTTTTGGCGGAGCGGAATAATTATCCTCGCCAAAGCACTAAGCTACCAACTCTCATGGAGTAATGGTAATTGTGCGTCTATTGTATTGCAAAACTTGTATAAACAAACTCACGACAAATAGCTCAGTTTCAGTTAATTCTCCTATCAGCACAATAATAACAACCTAATAGGAAAAGTATTTTGGTATACTCAGTTTTACACAATACCACCCAAATATAAAGAAATATACCCTTAACAGATTAAAAAACAATATTAAGTCGGGAAGAGTTAACAGTCTGCGGTATGTTTGTTTTGAGGTCGTGAAATGTTTCGTTTTCTACTTGTTTGTTTCGCGTTCCCACTTTAACCTTTATTTTTACGATTACTAGCTTCTCATGGTAACTTTTCATAGCTGAAGTCTTCTCTGGCGTCGAGGCTTCTCCTTTTCGCTTATTGATTGAAGACATATTTCCAAGCTCACGATGGTTTACGAATGCTGTTCCAGAAAAAAAAAGTTTACAGTTTGTTTCTAATAGCCGGGGGGATGTAAAAGTTGCACTATTCAATGATCCGATAAGATTTTAATCCTAGAGTCGATGTTCCACTCAAGACGAATAGACAAACTTTCGCAGAGAAAAAAAGAAATGTGGGTAGCTATGTTGGTTGAGAATGCGCCAATATTGCGTGACTATGTATATAAAATTGACTTAATTGATAAAAAAAAAAAAAATACAAAATATCAGAAAAAATATACATTGTGTAAATTACAAATATTCGAAATAATCTACTAATTTTCATTATCTTCTTTATCGGAAGTTACCGTTGAACTTCGTCTCTTAAGCCTTTGAGATCTAGCCTCTGATGAATGAAGCAGTAAAGACATATTGATAATCATAATATTTCTTTAAGTTAATAAAGCTTCTACAAATTGCAACACATTTTCACAATCAATTGGTCGTACTAGAATTTTGACCGAACATAAATGGCAGAGACGATGAATATTATCAATATCCTTAATAATAATATGTACATTACATCCCCAGCTAGTTGTATTCCTAGAATTCCAAATTCATTTTTGTCTGGACTACAACCACTATAGACCTAATATAACCCGTCATTCATTTCTCGCCACAACTTTACTTTGTCATCCTCCTTTTTGCGCCCAATACATATTAGGTGAGAACATTCTGTAAACGTGATTTCATATAACTTACCTCTATATTCTACCATAAACACCATATCCGTCGTTTGCCTTGTTTACCATCGCCCTTTCTATCTGAACTATCTTGACTTTGTATTTCTGCACTAAATTAGTAATACTTACCGTGTAAAATATGTTTGAGTAAAATACTACTGAAAGAAATCAATCTATAATTCTTACGTGCTAAGGAAGGTAGTACATTTAATTGGAAGCATCTTTAAAGCTGTCCGAATAAGAGGAACTATTACATCTGTCACATAAGTTCCTTCACTTTGTGATTATGCAAGCTGAGTATCGAATGCCGGATTTTTCCAAATATTATTTAAGGAATCAAGAACTTCCATTGAAATATTGCTGATTCCTCGTATGTCTCTTTCCATGTATGATTCTGTGGAAGTTTTTGTGGTAAGGCTTCCACCTTCTCGCGATTATAATTTTCTACAAATGTATTACTTATCCCCTGATATTGGATGGAGCTTGTACTTGCATACGTCGTAATGGTTCCATAAAATTATATCGTGCAGGTCCTGGTAAATTCTGTACTAATTCCGACTTATCACAAATTACTTGGCTGGCTAATGGATCTTGCCACGTTAAGTCATCGATTTTTGTTTGATCTAATAATTTGTACGCTTCTACAGCAAACTGAGATGACTTTCACTAAAATAATAATGGGATAGAATATATATACAGCACTAAAAAATTATACATGAGTTTCTACACGCAAAACGCCTCATCCCGTACGTATCCATTCTTTAACATTCATTAATATTCGTTATTATACTTACTCTCAGTTTTCCTTTTAATTCGTTTATGTTTTTCGTAATTTGTTCTTTGCTAAGGTGGCTCGTTTCTTTTGACGTTTCTATATCACGAATGCTACACACCTTCGAAGGCTAGCTCAAACTGGTGCATAATATATTATTAGGTTTATTAAGTAAATTTAATATATGGTCCTAAACTTTTGAACATGGAGTGTATATTTCCTTGTATTTATTTCCAGGTATGGTAATTGCAATATTATTTAGCAAATCAACATTTGATGAGGATTCCGTTGCAAAAGGAGAATTCCCACTAGAAATATTCCAAAGAATAATTCATAGACTAAATATATCAGAACTCTTATTTTTGCCAATTGTGCTGAAGAGTTCCAAATATTGAGGATCCATGTATTGTATTGGGTAAGGAAACTTAAAGAATCGGAAATAATTTTTGTAAATTCAAAAACATTAAATTTAATGATCTCATTATATAAAAGAATATTTTCAGAGTTCTAATCAAATTATTTTTAAAATAAATGAAAAAATTAAGAATAATTCAATTCATTAATGGAAAATTTATTTATTTTTAAACAAAAATATTTTTTAAAAAAATAATAGTTACAAATTTAATCCATTTTTTGATATAATTGTTGGTATTCTCTATAAAAATAAAAAATTATTTTAAATAAATAAATTAAAGTGAATAAATTAATGATACCAAAATATTAAACATAAATGATTAAATATTATTACTTTGCTTAGTGATGAGTGATGCCAAGAAAATATAACTATAATACGGATTCCTGATCTGCATAAATCAGTGCGCTGATTGGTTCTTTATTCGTAAGCGTGATATATAAGTATAAAGTTCCAAACTAATCACAAAACAGCCTCTAGATTAATATGTAACTTTCTTTTTGAATGATATGAACGAAATTCTACAATGGGACATTGGCATAAGAAAATCAAATAAAATTTGTGTAATGATATGAAGAACCTACTTTCTTTTTCAGCCCAGCCTAGCGGAGAAGTATAATAGCTCTAAGCAAATTCTTAAATTTTAAATAAATTGATGTAATTGTTTGTTTTTCCAATTAGTAAAGGGTCCATTGTCATAATACTAAGTCGCTGCATCAAGTTTTAAAGTTGAGATGCACTTCATGATATGATCAATTTATTTCTTTGACAATCCCGATTATTGTGTAACTTTAGAAAATACCTGCAATTAAATAATCGTCGAGCGTTACTACGTATAAAATTTTTATTTTAATAAGTAAATGTCAAAATCAGTACTAAGTAATCTTAAAGACAAGAATGAATTGCATATTATATAAAAAGAACAGACTTATAGCGCCAAAATTGAAAGAATGGTTAGCAATTAATGTCCGAATGGATGAAAATTTTTAAAATAACAATTATTCTCTCAATTTTGATGAATAAATCTGTTCTTTTTATACAATATATTTATTGTTCGTAGAAATAGAAAACCTTCAATTATTCTGGAAATAGCTGAAAGCGGAAGCGGAAACGAATGAATTATTGTTTTACATTTATTTTTTTTTCTGAATTATTTTCGTATTATGTAATTTTAATAACATCCAATAACTTTATAATTAGACATATTTCATCATTAGAAAAAAAATATAGATTAAGTCATTTAATTTTGTAAAAATAGGAGTAGGATTAATAGGAAAATTGGGTAAATAAATTAATTGATGTTTGGCATTATTAATTATTCTTATTAGGTGCTTGTAATGATCGAGAATCCTTTTTTGTGTCATAAAATAATTTTTACCTTCGTAAAATTAAACATATCTTTTCATTTTTAATAATCAAACCAACTAATGGACAATTCTTTTCACTTTTCTTACAATCATCAAATTAAATCAATATTGAGCTGATAAAGTAGGCATCTAAAATTAAAAGTTGAAATATTGAAGCCGTTGCTCGTGGAAAGAAAAATTTATGCCAATATTTAAATTATTATTTACAATTTATATAAATTTGAATTTATAAATTAAACTTTATGTTATATTAAAATTAATTTTGTCTATTTTTTTTTTTATCATTTTTAAAATAGTAGTTGACAGGTACCCAAATAAAAAATTTATTATACATAAGTTTTGCAGAATTATTACTATATAATAATATAGAATAGGTAATAACTGGATTTATCGAAAGAAAAACAATTGTTCTGAGAATTATACCATCCAATCAATTTTACGCACAAAGATAAAAATTTATTTTTTATTAATATCCAATCATTTTATTCAATAATTTATAGAAAGGCTTTTTTAAAAAACGAAATGGGAGCAAATCGATCATACGTCAAAAATATTGTTTTTATTTTTTTCATGGAATTTTTTGGCTGAAAGTCATGAGATGCACTTCATTTTGTAGAGAAAATACCAAGATTATTTTAATAAGCATTGATATTTTGGACCTCTTCTTTAAATTTATTTTATTATTTTTTTTTTTATAACATATTCATGAAAATAAATATTTAGTTTTAATGTTTTTTTAGCCGGTGTAGCTTCAATGATTACAAACAAATTTACAAGTTCAATGTTCTATCTATAAAATCAAATACCACATCACACGAAAATAAAAACTTATTTATGGAATTTTGGAAAGAAATTCATTATCTCGAAGCTTATAAATGAAAATAAAAATAATTCATTTTTTATTTTCACAATTCACTCTGTATTTACTTTAAATATGTATTTATTATTTTTTTTTTTATAGCGATGAAACCAAATAATTACAATGTGATGATCACTACTCAGTAAATGTTTGATAAAATATGCACACAAAGCAAGTTCAAAACAAAAATAAAAATTTATCTTTATTAATGAACATTTATTAAGGACTAACATGAAACGAAATGATGATCATTAAAGGAAAATAAATATTTTTTATTAATTGACTTATGAAATATTTTTTTTTTAACATGTTTGTTTTTGAACTAAAGATCTTCACAATTCCCGTACTTCTTGCATTGTTGTTTACATATATTGTTTGTTTGTTATTATTATAAGGGAGTACAAAGTTATTAATTATTTTACGAAAATCTGATAATCTTTTTCCTTATCTCTGACTCTTGATAGGATAAAAAATGACCAGTTTGGAAGTATGTTACTATAATAGGAAATTTTATTTTTTGAAAAGAAATTGTTTACGTGCACTACTTTCTTTATTCAATTTATTCAATGATAAAAAATCCCCAGATTCTTGTCGTAAAAGCTTTTCATTATCTAATATACTGTAAAATATAATAAGGAAATAACCAATACAATATTACTTTCGAGTCAAATTATTCAATTTACTGGAGAACAAAAATTCAAATTAAGGAAAAAAAAATAAACATCGGAAGAATTATTTAGTTAAATAAGCTTTAACACATACCAATAGCAATAACAAAATAGTAAATAAGTTTCAACGAATAATAATCACAAAAATAGATAAACTATACTGTTATTTTAATTATCTATATTAAAAAAAACAATAAGTTTACTTTTATAGTATTTGAACAAGTAATTTGGATTCATTCATTTTATTATCTGTTATCAAATATAAAGTACAACAGGTTTCATCGGTCGTCACACATGGATTCAATAATTTAATGAATGGTTTTGAGGAAAGTATTTAACGAATGCATTGATCAAATGTGAAAAGAAAAAGTCTTCCTCTTTTAAAGGCATTTTTTCGAGTTTTAATTTAAAATATTACCTAAAATTCAAATTTAAAAAATGACCGAACCTGTAGAAGAAAGGCAATTATAAAAAAAAATAAAATAAAATAAAGTTAATTATAAAATGAATTATGAAAATAAAATAAAAAATTTATGTTATAAATAATAATATTTTTAGACATCCATGGTTCAAAGAAATCAAAGAAGCTATTGAACATGAAGCGCATAGTTTTCATTCTATTAAAGCTGATGGAAGGGTTCTGAAAGCTTTTGATGATTTAGATGATAAAGTTATTGAAAAATTAAATGACACTACTCTTTATCCCGAACTTGAATGGGATGCAACTGTGAGGTATCTTAAATATATTTTTAAAAAAAATAATATTTTAGCAAATTTTAAATATTGACAAATTCTAAATATCTTAAATTAATAAATAAATTCTAAAAATTTTTTTTCAGAAATAATAATGATTTAAGTGAAGGAGAAATAAAATTTATTCATGACAGAAAACTTTTTATCCGTGAAGCATTTGCAAAATATGTGGGAGTTGATATTAGTGAAATTCATGTTGATGATATACCAGTAATTGCAATCATTGGAAGCGGTGGAGGATTTAGAGCTATGATTGGGGTTACTGGTATTATATTTATTATTATATCTAATAATTTATTATTATATTTATTATTTATATTTATTATGTTTTAATTAGGTTATCTCAGTGCTATTCAAGAATCTGGACTTTATGATTGCGGTGTATATCTTGCAGGTGAATATATATATAAATATAAATACATATAACTGATAACGTATATAACGTATATAACGTATATAATATACGACTGATAATAATTGTTATTTTTTAATATAATTTTAGGTCTCAGTGGTAGTTGTTGGACTCTGGGTCAACTATACACATCAATTGCTCAATCACATGAGAATCCAATTCAAGCATTAGTCGAATTTCATAGAACCAAACTTTCACATAGTATTTTTAATCCACATGGTCTCGTTGAAGGATTTGCTGAAACATCTGATCCACAGACAGCTGTTGAATTAGTATTTGGGTCTTTAATCCGGAAAAAAGCTACTGGGATAAAATTATCAATTATAGATGTTTACAGTACATTGTTAGCCGCAAAAATTCTGATCGATAAGGATCCCACAAAACAATTACAATTTGGTGATTTTAAATTGAGTGAACAAAGAAAATATATTGATGGTGGGAAGAATTTAATGCCTCTTTATGTTTCGTAAGTTCGCAACAAGTTTATTATAAAATTTATTGTATCGTTTATCACCTTTATTAATTTTATTAACATTAGTATATTTTATTATATTTTGTAGAACATATCATAATCGTCCATGGGAAGATACTCTTAACGCAGAAGAAGCAGCATTATTTCCAAATTACGAAGAAATGTATGAAATACATAAAATGAAGAAAGATTATTATCAGTGGTATGAATTCAATCCTTATGAAATTGGATGTGATGAAACTCCAGGTTAGTTTATTATTGATATTTATTATTGTCATTCATTTATTAATATTAATGAAAATTAAATTATTATTATTTATAATAACAATTTTATAATAGCATGGATTCCTTCTTGGGCATTCGGTAGAAAATTTGAGCTAGGAAAAAATGTTGAACGATTTCCTGAACAAAGTTTAGGCTTGTTACTTGGGTTAGTAAATATAATTTAATATAATATAATTTAATATAATATAATTTAATATAATATAATTTAATATAATATGATTTAATATAATATAATTTTACTTATCATAATTTATCATTATTATTAGTATAATGGGTGCTGCGCCTTCTGCTTCACTTCAATCGGAAATTCGAGCACTTGAAGAGGTTCTTCCTGAAGGAAAATTTAAAGATGAACTTAGAAATCTTTACGATGAAGCCATGGAAATTATTGGAACTCAGAAACAAAAAGTAATTGAAGGATATCATCCAATTCCACAACCATATAATTATAATTTTTCATATCATCTTAATCCAACACCACCGTATAAACTTGGACCCGCCAATAATGAAATGACTTACTTTGGTGATGCTGGAGTGTCAAATGATTTTCCCATGTATCCCGTAACTCATCCAAATAGAAAGGTTGATATTGTCATTGGATTCGATTGTTCAGCTGCTGCCATTAATACAGAAGTATTTGAGAAGAAACAAGAGATTTTCTGTAAACGAAGAGGTTACAATAAAATTACTCGTGACGTGACTAATGAATATTGTGAAGTTTATGATTTTATTCCAACTGGTAAAACCAGTGATGAATTTTTAACTCCCGCGCAAAAACAATTTGTATTATGTTACATACCATTCCGCAAAAATGACAAGGTTGATCCTAATTTTATACCTAGTAAAACATTATTTTCTACTTTATTTAATTTCTCTTATACCACCGATCAAGTGGATTTAATGAATAATTTAGCGAAAGCAAATTGGTTGGAATCCGAAAATCAAGTTAAAGGAATTATCATTGATACTTGGAAGAAAAAGAGACATGCACGATTGAATGGAATTAATTTTCCATAATTTATAAATAATTTATTCTACCTTATTATATTTATCTTTATTATATTAAATACTTGTTATTATTATGTATGATTTATTATTAAATATTTTGAAATGGAAATAAAATTTATTGATTACAAAAAAACATATATAATGGATTTAATAAATAATTCATTTAATGAAAACATGAAAAAAAATGGATTAATTAATATATGTAAAAAAAAGAATGTATTATTAAAGCGTTAGTTAATTTAATATACTTGGTATAATAAAATAAAAAAAATTTTAATTGGTTAAAGAAATAAGGAAAGAAAATACTCAAGTGAAATTATTAATCGAAGCTATGAAGCAATCTTTAATAAAAAATACATTTCTTATTTGATTAAAAAAATACAATATATAAAAATATAAATCAATAATATTTAAAAATATAAAATAAATATTCATTGAAATCTTCAATATGTTGAAATAAGATGTAAAATAAAAACTTCTTTTATTAAATTTCTAATAAACTTATCAATTATATGAATTTACCAATTATAAATATTATTTCATCATATAAGATGTAGAAGTCAAAGCTTTATTATTTATATATTCTTTTTATTAGTTATTAAATTTAATTTAAGAATATATACATTTAATAAAAATTGCCTCATGTCTCGAAGCAATATGTATTTAATTATCATATTTTTTTATTTTCATATTAAATCATTATTTTTTTAAAATAAAATAAAATCTCTGGAACTCGAAGAAGAAATATCAAAAGAATTAGATTAAACAATTAATTTTTTCACCATCTTTTATATTAAAAAATCTGGTTCACGTGGCAATATTTTTAGTGATTTAACTATGAATTAAATATCGATCCGTCTTGTTGCTTTATTAAAATATATATTGGACGTTATCAAATAAGAATAAATTTTACCCTCAGTCCTATTTGCTTCCTAACTTATTACACATCTGAAATATACTTATCCAAACAAACAGAGACTGCATTCCAAAGCTTCTCGATATTTGCATACTGTTCCGGAACAATCTCATATATTTTACCATAAAGAGTTAAATCATTCGAAAATTTTGATAACTCGGCTTCAATAATCTCCCAACAATTAGAAAGCAAAACAAAGAAGCCGGTAACCTTATTTGATGCATAATCAACTACTTCGGTCCGATCAATAGGACCTTGTTTTAAATTAAGGATTGCTAACTGCTTTTTTGCAGCAATTAGTTTTTCTTTAAGATCTAGAAAATATTTAAGGGAATAAAATTAGTCGAATAATTTAATATTTGTAATTGAGAAATATGACAGAAATATTTTTTACCATCTATTTTCTTGAGATAAACATGTATGGCGAAACCACAACAACCGCAAATAAGCCGCTTACAACTGCAGTCAACGTGAAAAGGCCAAGGGGTAACCCACCGACGGTTGTGTTGACAATGCTCCCAATCCAACTCCAATCCTAAGCTTAACAATTAGATTATAGTGATTACTAATTTGATGTTCCAAACTCATAATTGTTTCTTGAACTCTTGTAGTCTCTTCGCCTTCATTTTTAGGTTTCTCCTTAGCACACACTTTAAAATCCGTCTTGAATTTTAAGATATCAGTTACATGTGAAGCAAATTTTGCGACATTATTTTTGGCCTCTCTTTTTTTTGTCACTAATAATCTGATATAAACGGAATTTAGTATTTCAAAAAAGGTTTGATAAACTATATAACTTACTTAAATCTTGGGTTGCCTTTATTAAATCTTTTTTTTCGTTCTTCGGACTTACTCTCGTTCTTCAGAAATGGAAGAGTAACAAAAACGTGATTTTTAGCAAAAAAAAGATAAATTTGCCGCTTCTTCTTTTGACTGAGTTACTAAATTTCTATATTTCGACCACAATTCATTCCACTTATTAGCCCAGGTCTTGTTATCGACGTGAAAATGATCTATTTCAATAAGCATCGCATAAATATCTCTGTAATTTGCTTCAACTTCTGAATGCGTATTTCTGAGTTCCTCAATATCCTTTAAAAGGGCTTCGATTAAATCATCTGAAGTGGTATCTCTTGCAGCAACTTCAGCAGCTCTCATCTGAAAGCCTCCACAAAAGTAGGTTGAACAATAGGTTCACAAGTAATAAATTTATTAAAGGGACTGACATCCGCATATCGTATCATTATTATTATAGGTGAGAGGATAAGAGGCAAGAACGTTAGCAAGTACTATTTAAGTATATTTTATATCGTAGTTCACCACATAAAAAAGGAAATTGGTCAATCCCCAAAATCCGAGGAACACCTCATATTAAGCGATTGTAATGCGCCAAATCAATTTGTGCATCAGAAAATCTCTCCAAATTGTGCAGTGCAAATCATTGCGTCAAGTGTAACATATTTTGTCTTGAAAATTTAACCTAAATCCAGGGTACGAGTATACCCGGGGTTTAGGTCATTAGATTTAGTGTTTTAAGTCAGTCAAAAATATCAGCTTATATTTTTAAAATCGGGTTAAGTGTTAAATCCCAAATAGGAATTTCTTCTAGTAGAAAATTTGTGCTACCCCGAGATAATCATTGGATCGTCATGTATTTGCAAAAAAAAAGAAAAAAGAAAAATTGAAAGTAAAGTCAATATCTTAAGCAAAAAGTCAACTCCAGTAGAAATTAGAAACTGAAATCAAAGTAAAAAGTCAGAAGATTCACGTTATTTACAATAAACAAAAAAAAATTTAACTCTAAACCTTCAAAAATAACTAAATTAAAAAAAAAATATTGAAAATTTAATATACACTGAAGTTTTTTATTTGGTCGTGAAAAAAAAATATTTGAAATATTTTAAAATACTTAATGATTAATCATAATGTATTATTGACAAACATGAAAGATAACTCCATATCCATCCACGATTCTATCCAATCATTTGATCTATCTATTTATTCTCAAAAATGAAAGAAAGAACTACGAGTATCTACACTACAAAAATATCAATTAGTATTTTTACGTGTGTAAAAACAAAATGTACACTGCATTAGTAAGCAGTATTATTTATTGATTTTTTTTATTTTTCATCCGGAAAGAGATATCGAAAAAAAAAGATCAGACATTATTATATTATTTCTACATGATTATCATATTATTATTCATCCATTCATCCATTCATACATTCCCACTTTTCACCTTTCATTTTATCAACATTCTCTCTTAAATTTAATTCTAATTTAATTCTTATTCGATTCTTATTCGATTCTTATTCAGTTCATTTATAGCATTACAAATATATATCCCTCTATTGTTATCTTTCTTTTACCCTAAACAAATTACTTATTAATCATTACATATGTAGTGAATGATAACCATAACGAATATGTCATTTATATTTCACCTACTTAATATTTAAAGAAACAAAGGTTTTTTCGATCTTGCTTTAATTTTTAAACCTTTAATTTTTTATAATTTTTTATTTTAAATTTTTCTATTTAATTTTTTTAATTAAAACTTTTATCTATTAATTTCCTATTATCTTTAATAATTTAATTAATTAATGTATTCAGTGAATAATTTTGGCGAAAATAATCGACATAGATCATAGGAAACAATTTGATTAATAATAATTATAGCCTATCTTTGTTTTCTATCATTTATATTTAACTCCCATAAATTAAATTAATAATTTCTTGAATCTTTTTTTTTTTGAAAATGTTTCGTATGGGTACATGTTAAATGATGCTGTTTTTTCGGTCACTAATAGTGCATGTATTAAAGTTGTTAGTCGAAATTGTTTTCGCCCTTGTCAAAATATTTCGACTCTAGACATTTAGGCATGTCAAAAGTCTAAATATTTGTCAAAAGTCTAAATATGTGTCGAAAGTTTAAATGTGTCAAAAAGTCGTGCAGATCAAAAATCTAAATATATGTTAAAGTTTCAATATTTATATAATGAAATATATACCTTCTGATTCTGAGCCATCTTGGGATGCTTCATTCATTATAAGCAAATTATTAAATTGATCGATATTGCAAAAAATTATAGATCGATAATATCTTTTGTGCACCGCCTTAAACAACAAGTGGGAAATAATAATAATCCCACTAGTAGAGAAAAACGAAGATCACTGCTATTATAAATGTTTTATTTAGTAAAGAAAAATTAATTAGGGATGATAAACATTAAATATCACTACCATTAATGTTAATTAAATATTGTTAAAAATCACCGCCGTTAATTGTCACAATTCAACAATGAACAAAATTAAAATTAAAATTTGCCAATCGATATTTAGACATTTCGACAATGTTTAGATATTTCAACAACATTTAGACATTTCGACAACATTTTGACATTTCGGCATATTTCTACATTAATACATTATAAGAGTCATTGTCAAAATTATATTTCGACTGAAGTATGTTTGTCAGGATAAAACTTTCAACTAATAACTTTAGCATTTATAATTTAAAAATTTGGTTCTGTAAAAAAAATTTATTTAAAAAGGGACTTTCCTGGGCCTTATTTATGCTATAAATTATTAAATCAATATTTATTCATTACAAAAGTTAAAATATTAATGATATTAATCAAATTGGGATAAGAAGAAATCAAAATCATTTATTAATTCACATTATACATTCTTTCTCATTACATAATTAACATCAAATTACAAATAATGAATTGCATCAAATATTAATTTTTTATCCTGAAATATTCTTTATTAAATTTGTTGGATAGTTGCCTTTCCAATAACTTCACGATTACGGAAGATTTTAATTTTTTTCCCGACAAAAAATTGTATGGTTGTATTTTCGACATCAAATTGAAATGGGGAAATTCCAGGTGGATTAATTATGATACCAGAAATTAATTCCTTTTTACTGCCGGAAATTTGATATTCATATTTGCTAGTTTGATCAATGAATCCTGTATTAAATTGTCCAGTTATTCTGACGGTTTCGACAAAAAGTTCAGTAAAAGTGACTCTACCAGTGACTATATTAGCATCAAAAGTGGGTGTCGTGAAATCAGCGAATGCGAGGTCACCGGGTGAACGAGGTGACAATCCAATTGGAGAAGCATTTGTAAAGCAGATAAAGAATACGGAAAACGCAACCAAGATAGTAACAAATGCGACTTTTTGATTCATTTTTTAAATGCAAAATTTTTTAAAATATTAAATAATATAGATTGTTTAGTAAAGTTATTTTTAAGAAAAAAGAATTGAATCTTTGTTGTTGGATTTTTGGTAACAGGAGAATGTTGTTCTTTTATAATTAAATTTCTCTTCGTTTTTGAGACAAGGCATTTTTTTAAAAAAAATGTCATTGAGTCATTGAGTCATTGAGAAAGTATATGGATTATTTTATAAGAATATACAAAATTTCTTTCCAAAATTGATAAAAAAGAATTTATTGCATATGTAGAGTTTGCATAGTTTGTTAGAGCAACCAGTAACGATTTCGTTTTATAGGCATAAGAATACATGATTTTACTTTATTAGTATTTTTAAATTTATTTCGTACTACTGATACTAAATAGTCACACATAAAAATATAAATAATATAAATAAAAATATAAATAATGATTGTAATAATAAAAAATTTATTTTTACAAATAAATCTTCTAAACAACTCCCCGAAAATTATTTGATGGTATGATAAAAATTTTATTAAAGATTTTTTATAAAAGCTTTTGGTACGCAAAAAAAAAAAAAAGCTACATTATTTATAAAAGTAATTACGTAAATAATGTACTGCTCAAGTAGTAGTACGAATTAATATTATCGAGATCATACAATTTATATTTAATTTATATAATTTATATAAAGTAGGATTTTATTTATAATGAATAAAACAATAAAAGGGGGAAAAAAATATTTTTCAAAGCAACACATCAACATGAAACAACTTTGAAAATTTTCTTTACAAAAAAAAAACTACCGATAGTATTATCTTCTTTATCTATTAAAAAAATAATTAACATTGATACAAAATTTTTTCAAAAATAATACTCCCAATACCACACTTGTTATTATTAAAGGTCAATTCCTCCATTTTGTTGTTGTTGTTGTTGATGTCTTTTGTTGATTTATTTGTTGTCTTGGATATTGCAAATATATTAATTCTACTTCGTAATGTTTTAGTAACTGCAATTTATTAGTTGCTGTCATTGTTGTGTTGTGTCGTCGTCTTGAATGATAATTTCTCGGAAACTGTAATTGGTCTTTTCGTAATGATGAGGTGATATGATAATAACGTTGAATTATTTGTGTTGAAAAATTAGTTATTATTGGTTTATTTGATGTTGTTGACGATTCTTTTCTTGTTGCTGCATTTGGTGAATTTATTTCTTGTGGTAGACTTTGGTGATTTGCTTATGTTTGTTGTTGGTACTTCTTTTATGTAGTACTTTGGTTGCTGTTGTTGAATTTGATGTTTGTTTTTGTTCATGTTCTTAATGTTGAACCTTTTGTTTCTGATTTCTATTATATGAGCACATTGATAACTCAATTAAAGAATTATATTCCTCCTTTTCGACACGTAGTTCAATATAATTGAAGGCAAAGGATTTTATGCATAATTATCTGATGATGATTACGATGGTGGCGAGGAAGAAGAATTATATGAGGAAAGAGGAAGTTTTTACCACCTCCGTTTCATATCGTTTCATCATAATCAATTAAATCTGTATCAGCCATTTTATCATATTGAGAAGAAGAAAGTGGATCGATTTCAAGATGTTTATTGTTTAATGATTAAAATATTATGATCTCTATGACATAAAAATTTGAATCCCTTTGAATATGCGGTGAAATTAATTCATATATTCCCACTCATAATAATGGATTCTTTATTCGATAACAATTTAAATTTAATTATAAGAATCCACGTGAACAATTAAAAAATATTGATCATTCTTGCCATAATGTTATTTAATCATTTGTTTGAGATAACAAACAAACCATGTGTGTGGTCAAAAACAGATTATGCGGGACGTTTTTTAATCCTAGATTTGTTTTAAGTATATATAGTAACGTTAGAACAAATATCTAGATCATTACTACTAGCTCTACTATATTTTGAGATTTCTTTTTTTCTTTGGATTTATCGGAATTTGCAAATACGAGGCGACATCGTTAGGCGAAGCGGAGATTATTTTTTTTTTGCAACATGAAAGATCTAAAGATAATTAAAGAGAAACAAATAAAGTTAAGAACAGAGTAGAGAATAGATTAGAAATAAAAGAAAGAATAAAAGTAATAAATTATATATATGTATATATATCTCTTTTTTGGATGTAATCACGAAAATATTTAGATCATTTTTTTAATAAAATTAATTTTACATTAATTTCATTTAAAGAAATCTTTGTTCACTGTTATTAAATTATCGTATTTCCGCATAAATATTATTTGCAGAATAATAAAAATATTATTATTTTCTGTAAAATCATTATTATTACCTATATTTAAATTTTTTTGGAATAAGATAAATTATTATCTTTGAAAATGAAATAAAGTTGTAGCAATATTTTCGAAAATGAAAATAAGTTGTAGGAATTATTCGTTCATTATAAAAATTAAAATTTGTAGCAAATATAAAAGCCGATCATTTTTTTTTACAAATCAGTGGCTGCGAACATTTTATTTTGAAGAGCGCAGGTAAAATTAGCATAAAAAAGTTCAGAACAAAGAGTTAGTGAGTGTAATCTGTTCTACACTAGTTAATTCTAATTAATAAAAAAGTCGCATACCTATTTATATTAAAAAATTATTATGATACAATCAACAACATTTTTCATTATTTTTTGAAAGATTGTCTAAATAAAGAAAATAGGATCAGAAGAATGTAAACAATGGAGTAAAAAGTGGCGATGCCTCACTTGTAGTTGATTATAAAAACTGAAAATTTTTATTTGGTCGTGAAAAAAAAAATATTTGAAAATTTAAAATGTTAAATAATTAATCATAATGTATCATTAACAAACATGAAAGATTACTCCATATCCATCCACCCATTCTATCCAATCATTTGATCTATCTATTTATTCTCAAAAATGAAAGAAAGAACTACGAGCATCTACACTACAAAAATATCAATTTAGTATTTTTACGTGTGTAAAAACAAAACGTACACTGCATTAGTTAGTAAGCAGTATTATTTATTAATTTTTTTTTATTTTTCATCCGGAAAGAGATATCGAAAAAAAAAGATCAGATATTATTATATTATTTCTACATGATTATTATATTATTATTCATCCATTCATCCATTCCTACGTTTCACCTTTCATTTTATCAACATTCTCTCTTAAATTCAATTCTTATTCAGTTCATTTATAGCATTACAAATATACATCCCTCTATCGTTATCTTTCTTTTACCATAAACAAATTACTTATTACTCATTAAATTTTTAGTGAATGATAACCATAACAAATATGTCATTTATATTTCATCTACTTACTGTTTAAAGCAACAAAGGTTTTTTCGATCTTGCTTAAATTTTTAAACTTTTAATTTTTTGTAATTTTTTATTTTAAATTTTTCTATTTAATTTTTTTAAAATTTTAAAAATTTTCCTACTATCTTTAATAATTTAATTAATTAATTAAAGTAATGTATTCAGTGATTTGCACCACTTTTCTCGATTCTTAAATGTCTCTAAATACTTCTTTATTATCACCATATGATAAAGCAAAATGATCATTTCGTCCTAAATAATTTTGGCGAAAATGATCGAAATAGATCATGGGAAACTGTTTTATGAATAATAATTACCCATTATATATATTTGTCTTCTATCATTTATATTTATCTCCAATACCATAAATTATATTAATAATTTCTTGAATTTTTTTTTGAAAATATTTAATATTTCGTGTTATATTGTGGGCACGTATTGTAAGAAGTAAGGTCGACCGTAAAAAACAGCTCCCAACTATCATGTGATTAAAGCTAGGGTAGATTTAAGGTTAGGATTGATCAGTTATTTATAAGATGCTGTTTTTTCGGTCACTTATATTTTAAAACTTTGGTTCTGTAAAAATTTTTTTTATTATTTCTGAATTCACGTTTCGATTGAGTATGCAATTTTATATAAAAGTAAATTTTCTTGGACTTTATTTGTACCATAAATCATTAAATTACTATTTAATCATTACAAAAGTTAATTATATTAATTTATTTGGTATAAGAAATCAAAAATTATTTTTATTCTATAATTTACATTAATTAACATCAATAACAAATTTTTTATCCTATAATATTCTTTTATTCATGTTCAGATTCTGGTTCAACTAGTTGTTTGATAAGTGACGTTCCAATAACATTATCGTCACAGAAGATTGTAAGATTTTTCCCACAAAAATCTTGCATGGTTTTATTTTTAACATCAAATTGAAATGGTGCAGTTCCAGGTGGATAAATTAGGTCAGAATCAATTAATTTCTTTTCAGCGCCGGAAATTTGATATTCATATTTGTTAGTGCGATCAGAGAATCCTCCAAAAAATTGTCCGGTTATTCTAACGACTTCGCACCGAAGTTCAAAAAACATGACTTTACCGCAGACTATATCAGTGTCTGATCTTTTATCTTCAAAAAAGGGTTCAGTGAAATCACTGGGACCGAAATCAGCGTATGCGATTTCACCGGGTGAACGAGGTGACAATCCAATTGGAGAAGCATTTGTAAAGCAGATAAAGAATACGGAAAACGCAACCAAGATAGTAGCAAATGTGATTTTTTGATTCATTTTTAAGTGTAAAAAAATTAAAATTTTTTTAAAAATATTATATTATAGATTTGTTTAGTAACGTTAATTTTAAGAACAACGAATTGAATCTTGAATTTTTTGGGAACAGGAAAATGTAGTTCTTTTATAATTAAATTTCTCGTCATTTTTGATATGAGTCATTTTTTAAAAAAAATGTCAATGAGTCATTGAGAAAAAATTTTTCTCATCATTCTTGTTATTAAGAATATGAATTCGATTATTTTATATAATCTCTCCTTGAAATAGAGGAAAAAGGATTTATTGTTTATGTAGAGTTTGCATAGTTCAATAACGATTACATTTTATGGCGTTACATATTGCATTTGCATTATGTGAAATGAACAGTTAGGGGTAAACATACATGAATCATTACTTTTTTAGAATTTTTCATACTAAATTAAAATCAAGTTAGGGGTAAAGATACATGACTTATTGTCATGGTACTAATTAAAAATACTAAAAAAGTAAAATCAATAGACCATTGATTTTTTTAGTATTTTTAATTAAATTTATTCGTACTACTGATTTACCTTCAAAGCGCTACACAAATAAAAATATAAATAATATTGTAAAATATGAAGGTACGGGGATTTTTTTGTTATTTATTTTTATTTTTTTACTGTTTTTATTATTGTTTTTATCTTATTTACATATGAATGTATCTGTTTGCCTTTACGTTTTTGATTTGTTGCTATTTGATTTTGCGTTAGAGGGTGCCCGTGTCTAATTTTGCATTTTGTGCTGAGATCAGTGTAACAATGGAAATTTTGTGTGGGACATTTATTGCAATTAGTTCAATAAATACGGGAAAATATTAAAATAATAATTAATAATGGTACTGTATTTCATTTTATTTTTATTATTTTAACTCTTATGAATCATTTAATTTTTTTTTCTACAACGTAAATAAACAGAATTCGTATACACGAACGAAAAAATTAAAATAAAAACAGTTTCTAATTCAAAACAATTATAAATATAGAAACTTATTTATTTGTTATTTTTAATTTATTTATATATTAAACTAATTCTACTGTAAAAAAATTTGTGAGTATTTGTAATTAAATAAATTTCGTATTTCAATCCGTTCGTAAGCCAGCCTAGTGAAAACAAATATTCAAGTACTTCCATACCTTTTGAACAGTTTTAATTAGTCGCTCAAAGGCAGTTTACTTTGATATTACTTCTCAAAGTTCTGGATGTACTAAGGAAACGGGGATCGCTGTAAGTACGGAGCAAAAAATTATGACTAATTTTTTTATCTTATACAATTAAATAATGTATTTTTTTTTTACAATTAAATTATATTAAATCAATGTATTATACTATTAAACTACAATTGATATATTATAATAAATAAATTAAAATATTTATCTTAAAGAATTTCCTTTTTATTTTATTGATTCAAATTTATTACAAATATATATAAAAAATTATTTTAATCGTTATTATTACTTGCGAATCTATGTCACTTTGGATTAAATGTTTGTACAACCACGCATATGTCGGCAGACCAATCAAATTATGAACTCATGTTCAAGACCGATCGGCAAAGACAATATTTACAGCTTAACGTTTGTGATGCAATACATAGTCTACGTAACTAATCAATTTGATCTTTATCCAAGCTTTAAAATCAGTAAATTGTTATTGTTCGTACTTTTTTTATGCAGCACTTTGAATTTGATGTTGGTTTTTGTCTATGATCTTGATGTTGAATTTGTTTGCTTTTGACTTCTATGATATGAGCAAATTGTTAACTCAATTAAAGAATTGTATTCTTCCTTCTCAACGACATAATTGTAATAAAAATGTTCGAAGAAAATAACTAATCATATAATTGAAGACAAAGGATTTAAGTATAATTATCTGATGATGTTGCGAGAAAGAAGAATTATTTGAGGATATTAGAAGTTATTGTCCCACTTCAATTTCCATATGGTTTCATCAATATAAATTAAATCCGTATCCGTCATTTCATCATATTGAAAAGAAGAAAATGGATCAATTTCATGTTTATTAGAATCTAATGAATGATATATTATGATCTCCACGTAAATCTAGGACATAAAGTCCTTGAATATGCGATGCAATTAATTCATATATTCCTACTCATAATAAAGGATTGGTGATATTTAATCGTTTGATTGATATAAAAAACACGTGCATGTTGTCGAAATTGTCGAAAAGCGATTATACGGGTCATTTTTTAATCCTAGATTTGTTTTAAGTATATATTATAGTAACATTAGAATAAATCTCTGGATTACTACTACTAGATCTACATTTTGGATTTATTTTTTTCTTTGGATTTTTTTTTGGAATTTGCAAATATAGAAACAGTCCCTACCAAATTTAAGCGATGCGGAAAGGATAAATGAGATTCTTTAATTATCTTTATTTCTTTCTTGTCGCAAAAAAAAAAAAGATAAACAAATGAAGTAAAGAACAGAGTAGAGAACAAATTAGAAATAAAAGAAAGAATAAAAGTAATAATATATATATAATTTCTATATTATTAAAGGCGGAATTGCGCGCTTTAACGTTTTTCATTGGTTGTGTTGGAAGTGAAACCTGCTTCAATTACATCATGATGAGAAATTTGGTATCAAAATTTTTAACAAATTATTGATAACTAGCATGGGCCAGTGTCTCCAGCAGGGGATTTTTTTTGTTATTTATTTTTTCTTTTCTTTACTATTTTTATTATTGTTTTTATCTTATTTACATATGAATCTATCTGTTTGCCTTTACGTTTTTGATTTGTTGCTATTTGATTTTGCGTTAGAAGGTGTCTGTTTCTAATTTTGCACATTCAGTTGTAGTTGTTATGACATTTATTGTGTGCGTAACCGCGATGAGTTTAATAAATATGGGAGAATTTTAAATTTTAAATTAATAATGGTGCTGTATTTCATTTCATTTTATTATTTTGCTTATATGAATCATTTAATTTTTTTTTCCACAACATAAACAGAATTTGTATATACAAAAAATAAAAATAAAAAAAAAGGTTTACAATTCTGTTATTTTTAATTACCGTACTTATTAAACAATTCTACTGTAAAAAATTCGGGAGTATTTGTAATTAAAGAATAATTCGTATTTCAATCCGTTCGTAAGCCAGCCTAGCGAAAATAATATTCAATTACTTTCATGCCTTCTAAACAGTTTTAATTAGTTGCTCAAAGGCAGTTTACTTTGTCCAATATATTTGAAATTACGTCTCAAAGTTCCAGATATAAAATGGAACTGTGAAAAAATTCGTGAGTATTTTTAATTAAAGAAAAATTCATCTTTCAATCAGTTCATAAGCCAGCTTAGCGAAAACAAATATTCAATTACTTCAATACCTTCTGAACAGTTTTAATTAGTCGCTCAAAGGCAGTTTACTTTGAAATTGTGTCTCAAAGTTCTGGATATAAAATGGAACTGTAAAAAATTCGTGAGTATTTTCAATTAAGAAAAATTCATATTTCAATCCGTTCATAAGCCAGCCTAGCGCAAACAAGTATTCAATTATTTTCATACCTTCTGAACGGTTTTAATTAGTCACTCAAAGGTAGTTTACTTTGTCCAATGTATTTGAAATTACGTCTTAATGTTCTGGAAGTATGCCAAAGCTTCTCTACTCAGTCACAGGAGATCACCTGTTATCATTTCCAAGTAACATCAATTTCTATCCTTCATAAATCCTTTGATCTGGAAAAATTTTACTATGCCAAGGATTGCAAAGCTTCTCTAGAGGCTTCATTCAGTCGTAAGAGATCCCTGTAACCTTAAAGAGGTTAAGAATGCAATTGTTACAGAAATCATGTACAAAATTTAAATAAACCTCACAACTAATAGGACCAATAAAAATGGTATCAAGAATCAAAAAAGTCTTTTAAAGGTGACAACATGCAATTTACTTATAGTAGAGATGATTAATTGAAGTAACGTGTTTTTTTTTTGTTTATTGCATATTTATTATTAAACGAAATAAATCGTTTTCAAATGATTTTTCACTATACTTGCTTATAACTTCAGAACTTTATGACATAATTTTAATGCTTTTCTCAAAGTAAACAGAAGGTATGAAAGCGTTCGAATATTTGTTTTTGCTAAGCTGGCTTACAAACGGATTGAAATATGAATTCTCTTTAATTGCAAGTACTTACGAATTTTTTAAACTTCCAGAACTTTGAAATGTAATTTCAAATACATTGGTAAAAGAAATTGCCTTTGAGCGACTGATTAAAACTGTTCCGAAGGTTTTCGCTAAGCTGACAACAAATGGATTGAAATATGAATTTTTTTTTTAATTAAAATTACTCACAAATTTTTTTATGGCTCCATTTTATATCCAGAACATTGAAATGTAATTTCAAATACATTGGACAAATAAACTTCCTTTGAGCGACTAGTTAAAACTGTTCAGAAGGTATGAAAGTAGTTGAATATTTGTTTTCGCTAAACTGACTCACAAACGGATTGAAAGATAAATTTTTTTTTTAATTACAAATACTCACGAATTTTTACACTTCCTGAAACTTTGAGACGTAATTTCAAATACTGTACACTCACCTATCAAAAGTATTGGACCAGAGGCTTTTTTAAAAATTTATAAGTATTATTCAAAAGTCAATTATAGCACAACGGATAAAAATTATGCAAACTATTTTATATATAACTTTAATTAGAAGCATATTTCATAATATCTAGTAAAAATTTGGACTTTACATAGATGTGAATAAAAATGGCCAAAATTTAATAAAAATAAAGATTGAAATAAAAATAAAGATTGAAATAAAAAAAATATGAAAATAATTATCAATCGTTTATTTATCTGTAATTTTATTATCTATTATCGCTCTTTGCAAAATTATGCGGTCATGTGATAAAACGATCTACTAATAAAATGCCGAAAACCAGTGATTAC